AGGGGGAACCATGAGAGCCCCAGCGCTCGTTGCTTTGATGTCAGGGGGAAGGAAGGAGCCATTGGCCATGGGCCCCATGTCCAGGACATCAAAGTCTTCTTCTTCCCCCAGATCAGTGAAGTCCAGGTCCTTGATCTTCAGCTGCACGGGGCTGGCCTCCAGCCGCTCCCACGTCAGCTCCACGTCCTTCTTGATGGGCATCATCCCCGTGTTCTCCAGCTTCTGCGTGTGGGTCTCAGCATCTATGCTGGACATGGCACGTGCCAGCTTGGCGTGGGCGCTGGCCACCGGCCCATCGGGAGCCCTGCCACAGAGCCAGGCGCCCTCCTGCTCCCTGCTGCCACCTCCCTCGGTGTCCATCTTCACCTCACTCTGGACCGGAGGGGACAATGGGACCTCAGGGAAGACCTTTTCCCTCGCCAGCTCTGAGGAGCCTTTGGCGTAGAGCATGTCCAGCATGAACTTGGTGTCAGAGGAGATGGTGCTGCAGGAGTCGGTGGCGTCCAGCCGAGCCAGGCGTGACCCGGCAGGGAGATGAGGAGAGGTTGGGACAACCTTCTTGGAGGGGACAGGCTGGGCTGTACGTAGGTTTGAGGTTCTGCTCCCTGCAGGGCGTGCTCGAATGCCAGCGTTCGGAGCGGGATGAGGACGTACCACCCAACTCCTCCATGGCTCACAGGTGTGGGCTGGGGGCAGAGGGGCCACTAATGCCCACCCCAGGGTCCCCGACGAGTCCAAAGCTGGGAAGACACACCCCAGCAGCACCTACTTCTGTTGGGGGGCTCCATCCCGGGCTCAGTGGTGCCGCTGTCCCTGTCCCATGCGAGATGGGTGGGATGCTCCAGCACAGCGTCGCCGAGGACATCAAGCCGTCCCTTGGCCATGGAAGAGATCTTTTCTTTCTGGGCCGCAGCCAGGTTCTCCAAGAAGCGAGCTCTGCAAGACAGAGGTGGATGTTGGCCAGAAGCGAGGCAGGGATGGGGCTGAAGGGCAAACCACACCATGCCACACTGCGCAGCAACCCGCCCTGCACCGGCCACCCCACGCCGGGGACCCGGAGGGTTCAACCTCCTCTGAGCCCCGCAAAGACACAGCTGGTGCCACCACGGCTTGGGGACGAAGACGCCACAGCCCTGTGGGAGCTGAAAGCTCGTGCCATCGGGGTGTCATCGTCAGCTGTGGGTCCCAATGGACCTGGTGCTGCTCACTAAAAGCTGCAAAACCTGGGAGGAGACCTGGAGCAGACTTGGGGGGTCCCTCCTGCTCCTCATGCCCTGCGTGGCCGGAGCCCGGCCTGAGGAAGCGCATGGCTGGAGACACACACATGCCTCTACTTACTCAAACTTCCTCAAAATAGGCTTGTCCCCACGCAAGGAGGGGGCATCCTCCCGCCTGAGGGAAAACTGGGGTTAGTCCCCCACTGCCTGCAGCCCTCTCACCGGGGCTCGTGCCTCCTGCACCCACCCAGCCTGGCACCCCTCTGGCATGGGACCCTCATCCCATTCGTGGGGAGCTGAGAGAGCCCCCGGTGAGTCCCCTCCTGCCCAAGCACCACGTGGCATCGGGTGAGACGGGGCACAATGTGTCCCCTCTGCAACGCCACAGCCGCCGGGGCGATGATGCCAATCCCAGGAGAGACACCTCACCCCAGAAAGGGGGGACAATCAGAGGGTGCCATCACCCCAGCTGAGGGGTGCCAGTGCCGGGAGGTGCCGGTGATGTGGGGAGTGGGCTGAGGGGCTCGGAGGGGGACAGCAAGGTGGGTGCAAGGGAGCACCCGCGCGCAGAGCCCGGGCACTTACCAGACAGGGGCAGTTTGGCGCAGCCTGCAAAAGGAAAGATAGAAAAAAGAGTGGGCAGAGGAGAGGACAAGCGTGGGCAGAGAGGAGGAGCGAGGAGGAGCTGGAGCAGAGCCGTGCGTGCCTGAAGGATGCCCTGGAAGCCCCTGCCCGCTGCCCCGTCACGCTT